GCAATTTAGCAGTCCAATGCATCAAAAACTGAGGAGGAGAACGACACTGCAGCATCTCCCCTTTCATTTAAATGCCATGGACAATCACTGGGATGATATAAAGGAGCAAAGGAAACAGGCATTTATTTACGCTTATACCAAGCTGACTGAGGGTCTGATACCCTCAAAGCAGGTTCTGCACAGCCAGCATCAGGCCAAGTCTCTCCAAAGCCCTTAGAGCACCATCACAAAACCCCAGTGAAACCAAACTGGTTTTCATCCTACATGACACTAAAGTCAGTTCCTCTTCCAGCTTTCGCTTCTGCCCTATTCTCCCTCCCAGAGCACAGTGTACTTGAATTAGGAGAGGTAATTCATTACTGCAGATGATTTCGGCATCCATTCATCAGGATGTCTCGAGCTCTCCTGCTCCATCCCAAACAAAACTGCACGCACTGATCCCAAGCAGCCCGGAACCAACAGATGCCTCAGGACTGGACAATGCTCCTACCGCAATCCTGCTCCAAAGCCTAAATGCCACTAAATTCCTGCCTGATGCTCTATGGGAAGTGAAACAGGCCCTAGCCTGATGCATCCCAAAAGGCAACCCTTTTGGATGGGCATACTCTTGAGAGCTTCATTTACCATGAAACGGGTGAAACACCCCAGCCAGCCACTGGGTGAATGAGGCCTGCGAGTTCCTGCTTCGATAGCAGCACACTAATACAGCATTAAACCACACAAATAACATGGTCATTTCCTTACGATAAGCCAGCAGGCAGGAGAATATCACTCCCGAGCCATGTTAACACCATTTACCTTATTTATACCTTTATTTCTTGAAGCTTTACTGCAGGACAGGGACTATTCAGCATCGCAGCCCGACAGCAACGCCTTGCAGCGCATGGAAACGAATACCCCCGTAAAAACAAGCCTAAAAGCAATGAAACCATCTGGATTTCCCCTGTGCTACACAGCAGGGATGGCTTTCACCTTCCCTGCAAGGGAGAAACGGCTCCGTCGCTGTGATCAAGCCAACAACGGTGCGGTAAGGTATCGATAAAGCATCACAGCAAAGGTGTTATCGGTGCCACCGGAATTACCTGACCCGAATCCTTAATTCCAGGGCCAGGAGACACTGTTATGAGCAAACACAGCGCTGCCTGTGCGAGTTTCCCATGGGAAAGGCTGGATTTACCCCCCGACACGCCATTCCTCAGGCACACAACCACCGGGCCGGCTTTAAGCGACAAAACCGAGCAGAACAACGTGAGGAAAGGGAAGGGATGGGAAAATCACCGCGGTTCCCTTCGGTGCCACCCCCGTCCCGGCTCCCCCCGCAGCATTCACCTTTACAGGCCTTTAGTGGCGGCTTTCCCCTCAGCCCCCGCAGGATGAGGCCGCGGGAGCCGGGGTCCCCACACCCGCTTCAGGCCCTGCGGCTCCCCCGCTCCCCTCACACCAGCTCCATCTTGGCCTCCGCCCGCGGCCCGGGCCCGCCGCGGCCCAGCCGCAGCCCCGCATCCCCGCCGCGCTCACCTGCGGCCCGCCGGGGGGTGTGGGGGGGGCCGGGCAGCCCCGGGCTGGGGGCGGCTCCTCGGGCTGGGCCCCGGTGGCGGCGCCGCTTCCCTCAGCCCGAGCCGCCGCCGCCGCCGCTTCACACCGGAGCGGGACCCGGCGACGCGCACGGCGCGGAGGGAGGGGGGCGGAGCCGGCGCAGCGCGCATGCGCACCGCGGCACGCAACGGCGCTGTCGTCGCCCCCCTCCGCCGGGTGCGTGAGCGTGCGGGGGGAGAGAGGGCGGTGAAAGGAGAGGCGTGAGCGGCAAAAACGGAGCTTCCCTGACCGGGAATCGAACCCGGGCCGCGGCGGTGAGAGCGCCGAATCCTAACCACTAGACCACCAGGGAGCGACAGGAGCCGCTGCTGCTCGCTGCAGTTCGGGTACTGCCGCCGGGGCTGAGCAGGAGATGTGGAGCCTGTAGAAGGGATGGGGATGGGGATGCAGGGGGGCTACGGCAAGAGGGTCCTGGGGGCTGCAGTGGGGCTGGTGGTGATGCAGAGGTGATGGGAGGATGCTAGGAGGATGCAGAGTTTATGGGAGGATGCTGGGAGGATGCAGAGGTGATAGGGGCACTGCAGAGGGGCTGCAGAAGGGATGGGGATGCAGGGGGGCTGTGGGAAAAGGGTCCTGGGGGCTGCAGTGGGGCTGGGGGTGATGCAGAGGTGGTGGGAGGATGCTGGGAGGATGCAGAGGTGATGGGGGGACTGCAGAGGGGCTGCAGAAGGGATGGGGAGAGCTGCAGAGGGTTTGGGGGGCTGCAGAGGGTGAGGGTGGGTTGGGGCACCAGCACATCACCTTTGGGCTGCAGCGCAGGGTGTTTGCTGCCTTTCCAGATGGTGTCTGGGTGCTCAGGGGGTGCTCAGCTTTAGGCCCCTGAGTCTGTTTTTCCCAGATGCTCACGTTTCCTGGCACTCCTGCCTGCTCCCTGGGGAACGCTGCCGTTTCCCACCATGGCTGAAAACCCCATTTCCCCCTATGCAGCGTGTCCTGGAGCCACTGACCCCGGTGCTGGTGTGGGAACGCTGCCCAGGCCCCGCAGCTCACCCTGGGAGCGGGACCCCCTCCAAACAGCTCCAATGGCTTTCCCGTCCCTGCCTCTGACTCATGGCCTGAAGAAACAAATGAATGCCATTTACCAACAGCATCATCAACATTCATCACCCATCACCTCCCTTGGCTGCTGAGGCCCCATCCCCAGCTCTGGAGGACGCTCGGTACCTGTTCCCCTCCAAAGCACCATCTGTGGATCCCCAGCACAGAGCCTGCACCCAAGAAGTGATGCTGAGCCCACCACAGCACCCATAGGCCAGCCCTGGCTGCTTGCACCCACAAGGATGCAGGGAGCGTTGATGGCTTTGCCCCCAGGCAGCTCCCTCAAACCAGGCATCATCCTTACTCTACACACAGAGCAACCAGAGCTCTGCTGGCCTCTCTCCCTGCCCCTGTGGATTTAACAGCAGCTCCCAACCCCATACAGCTCCATACATCCACCACTCCCCTGCATCCTGCTGCTTAAAGCAGTAGCGACTGCCAGAGCTTCCAGGAAACCCATTCCCTGAGGCATCACAGCATCAACCCGAGCCCCAGCTGCCAAGGTTACTGCTGCGACCCCAGTCCCACGCTCCAGGCGCCATGGGGAAGCAGGAAAGGCAGCAGTGGTGATAGGGGCTTGGAGCTGCCCAGCCTGAGCACAGGTATGGATGGGGAAGCAGCTAGCATCCAGCATCAACATCAGACCGCGTTTAGTGCATCCCTTCCCTAGAAAGCATCCAGAGCCAAGCTGGAGGATGGAGTATTTGAGTTCCTTCTCACCTCAAGCTGCTGCCCACAGTTACTTGCCTCTCTGGAGGATGGAGTATTTGAGTTCCTTCTCACCTCAAGCTGCTGCCTGCAGTTATTTGCCTGACGCACTCCTAACGCACAGCCGGGAGCAGAGTGCTGTGAGACGGAACAAGACAGGCACGTTCACCCCCTTTTCTCCCAAAGGAATGCTTTATTGACAAGTTTCCTCAATCTTTATCTAGAAACAGTTCAACACCCAAACCCAGCAGGCCCGGTTCCACTCCTCGCAGGGGAGCAGCACTGAATCCACCTCCCACCAGCACATCCACCTCCCTCCAGGCTTCCATCCTGCATCCCCGGGGCTGCAGAGGGTGGGGGAAACAGATTAAACACAGGTGAAGTGTCAAAACTTGCTTCTCGAGAGGGTCAGAGGGGGTTCAGTCCCCCCGGGGTGATAAACCACTACCGCTATGCAGATATGTACATCAACAAGCCTAAAGACCTGAGTAAGTCCCACTTCGCCTCTAAGGCACAGAATTGCTCACTCTAGGTATTTCTACATGGAGGCACCTTGCCTACAATGAGATCAGGCCTCTAGAAGAAAACTCGGGTATTATTCAGCTCCTGAGCAAGGAAGCTGGATATGAACAGAGCAAAAACATCCCAGCACTGCTTGAGCTCCATCCCTCTATGCCAGTGCTGGAAAGTGAGATGAGAGCTGGGGCTTTCAACTGGAAAACCCATCCCATCGTGGTGGGAGGTACCAGGAGGAGCCCTCAGAGTCCTCCAACAGCATCCAGAGGGCTAGAGACAGCCTTTGTAACCAGCAGCCTCCAGCAATTCCTCTTCCAAGAGCAAAGGCATCGGCTGAGAAGGGAGAAGCAAGTTTCATACACTCAGCAAAACGGAGTGCACTGAGGAGCTTAACACAAGAACTGGCTGCTAAGCACGCTGCTAGTGTAATTCCAGTGCTCAACATCCAGCTTTATTCCCCTTGCAGTCTTCTCTATAGAAATAAAACCGTGAACAAGGAAAGCAGGTGGTGATGTAAGGCTTGCGAGGCAGGCTGAGGCCAAGGGAGCGGGTCCCTAACACGATGCCAAAGCTGATGGAGTTGGGTTGGGGTTTTTTTTTTGCCTTTTAAGTTTTATTTCTTTAAAGATGTGTTGCATTTAAAAATAAAGGGTTTGAGTTTCGTTAAAGCTCGAGCATTAGTGTAACAACGAGGCAGCTGCTGGGGGAAGTTTCCCTTATGAGAGCCCAGAAAAGAACCCAACTCTTGACCCCACGACTCCAGTGAGAGCTGAGCGAGCAGTAACAGGAGAAGCCTGGGAGCTCTGAGGAGCTGTGTGACACAACCAGAAGCTGAAGCTAAGCTACCCATGCGCTTGGCTTCTCCAGTGACTGCCCTCCTCACGCTGCAAGTGACATCAGACATGGGGAAAACTGGTTTGATGGAAGCCAAGCAGCATTTCTGAGCTACTCTATGGAAACGGCGCCGTCCCCGCTCTCCCAAAAGGACGGGGGGGATGCGCTTCACCTACAAACCTTAGTGTAAAATAGGATTTGTGTACAAAACTCAGCGTTCGCTTTACTCGACCCGGATCCAGCAGCAGTGTCCAGCAATGAACAAGGATGGATCTCTCCAAACCAGCGCTCAGCCCCTTCGTGGAGGCGCGTGTGTTGGGAAGGGTTGGGAAGGAGGAGGTGGCTCGGAGTCGTGCAAAGCCACATCACGGGTCTAGAAGGGAGCGTTGTCCTGTGGAGGTTGATCCCCAGCTCCCGAGGGGGAGTGGAGGCCATCGGTGCTGTTTTCCCTGCTGCCCACCATTCTGGACTGAAAGGAGAGGAGAGAGTCAGCACAAGGAGAAAGCAGCACCGAGAACATCAAGCCGCTTCCCCCCTGGCCAAGGTCACCTTCTTGAGCAAAGACTTCACATATCTGAGAGGCCATTTGCATGAATAGAAGGAAAACATTGCAGAAATTAAGGGTTCACCCTCTGGGTTTGCAAGGCAAAGCACATGGTTACCTTTATGGTCCCAACTCTATCTTCAAATGACTTGAAGGTTGCAGAATTCCTTAAAGAAAGGAGATGGGGGAAAAAAAGAATAAATCAGAACAAGTCACTTCTTCATCAAATCACACTGCATGAATGGCTCTGGCCATTCCCATGCAGGGACAAGAGAACACAGAGCATCCCCAGCTCCATCCAGAGCATCCCCCCCAGCTCCACTCAGCCTTGGGCACAAACCTCAGGCACACCACATACAGACTCCAAAGGAGAACACTTATGCCACTGCTCAACATGGAAGGAAACAAGAAGAGAAGGGATGCATGGTATGTTGAGAACAACCTCTTGGTTTTACAGGTTTCCAACTAAAAGCAAACTGTCTTAAATAATGGAAAGGAAAAGCTGGAAAGGGGTTAAAACACAGCTTGCAGTTCCCCGTATTCCATCCCATGGGCAGGAAGGGGAAGGTCCATACGCCTGTACCTATGGGCAGTCTTATTACTACAGGAGTGATTGTTTGCATCAGGAAAAGCCCATAAAACTCAATGTAATAAATTAATCAGAGGATTCCATACCTCAAGCACAGAAAACCAGGTCAGTGGTTTGACAACCCAACAGATTGCTTTGTTTGTGACCAGTTCCAGGGCAGTGCTCAGTAGGGAGCATTATGGATCAGGCAATTACTCATCCAGAGCTGCTCTCCCCAGGCCAGGCTGCAGGAGCCTCATCTCCGTTATTTCTGTTCCAAAGAACCCCTTTGTATTTGCACCCATAAAATAACCTCCATCCCTCTGGAATGAGGATGAACAGAGAGAGGGGTTCTGTGAGCCTCATCCAGCCCTGGCTCATGTTTGTCCTGCAAGGAGATCACCACCTAAAGCACCTCAAGGGCACATTGAGAAGGATGCTGAGCTTCCAGACTGGAGACAGAGGCTGAGTTTGGATTCATCTTGGTATCCACAGTGACCATGGCACATGTTGTGAGGGCAGGACTAACCCCTGCCCTTCAGGGACCTTCTGGAAGCTGGGAATTCCAAGCAGACTTCGGTCCAGTGACACCACTGCACTTAGTGCAAGGGGCCAATAGCCATAGAGAAGAGATTGGGTAAAAACCCGCTCAACCTGCAGGATGCGGTTACCCCGTATCAAGTGGGGTTTGCTTTCAAAGGGAACCAGCTGTAAAACCAGATGGAAACCCCAGTAACGACAGACTCAGCTGCACTCTCCCACCAATCCCACTCTGGAAACACAGGAGTTGCTACGTTACCTCATGGCTGGCATACTGATGGAGTGGCGGATGGAGTAACTGCTGCTCGGAAGCATTAGAGGAAGGAGGGAAAAGTTAAATGACAGATGTAGGGTGACAGGGCCCAAAAGCAGGTTCTGAAGCACTTTCTGTCCACACACAGGCTGCTGGGGACAACCCAAGGGGTAAAATCCAGCCCTTTCTTCCCTTCTTTGCAACCCAGAGCTTCGTTTTCCAGACACAGGGCAGCAAGCATGAGTATTTAACTGCCAACCACAGCAGTGATACAAAAGTCAGTGACAGAGCACTGGTTTGTGGTAGCTTTCTCAACCTGTGTCACAAGTGCAGGCAAACTGAAACCATCAGCATCCCCTTTAACGCCTGCGAGGGGCTGGCACAGAACCAACTGCTCTTTTCTGAGCCTGGAAGAGAACCTTACCTAAAGGAATTGGAGAAGGGGTGAGCCCTGCAGGAAGCCATCGGCAGCAGAGGGGAAAAGGAAGCAACAGTGAGACACTTGTGCAGAGCGAAACACTCCATGCAAGGGCATGGTCACAGGACCACAGGACAGCAAGGTGAGCTGCCCAGGAGGAAACCTCTCCAAACACATCACAGGAACAGGCAAAACACCAACTGCTTCTCATTGACTCAAGCCAAGATAAGTTGTTTTCCAGAGAACAACACCAACACCTACAGCAGCTCAAGAGCTGCGGTGCTGGCGAGGGGAAGGGCTGAGTGTACAAAGGCCAACACTGCCCCTATCCCATGGCATTGCTGTCATTGATTTTATGCTTTTCAGAGCACGTTTGCCTAAATGGAAGGGTTTACCAAGGAATAAACACACCTCCCACCCCCATTTCCCCCATGGGATCTCACACAAAGACAGCATTGCTAGGGACCTTCTGGTCAAGAACTTGTGTAACTGGAACCTGCACTGGATACCTGCATGTTACCTTGCCAAGCCTGCAGATGCCAAAGCGACAGCTCAGAGAACACATTGCAGTCTAATAAGGATAAGGAGTATCTGGATAAAAGGTGTCATATTGACTCCATAACCTGGTTGCCCACTTTTAGGTATGAAGGCAAACTATTCCCCACCAGGTTACCACATTTCCATGTGTGATTTTGCAGTGCAGTAGCAGCTCTCTAGTCCAAAATAACAGACCAAGGCTTCCTACTTCTCCTAGTACAATCAGCAGGATGCTCTAAAGGAGCTTTTCCTACCAGGAGCAGTGTTTGATTCCCCTTAAATGTAGTTTGTCTCTGCAGGAGGAAGCAGTCGTGTTAATCTGGAGCTGAAGTACTTGGCAAGGAGCACAAGGGCTTTTCCTGACAGGCAGAGCAAAGATGTTCAGCTTTGTGGTCCCATCTCCCCAAGCACCCACATCGGCTCTTTGGCAAGGCAGGCTCCCTGAAATGCTGTCTTTTTATGTGAAATAAGTTAACTTTCCACTTCCTTTGCTGAAAGGAGAACGCAGATAACACTCATCCATGCACCGTGCTACTCTGTATGCAATACCACAAGCACCGCTTGGTTTGTTCGGTATCTTGGCTTCCACCTGGCAGTAACCCTTCTTCTTCCATAAGGATTTAAAGTGGACATACATTCAGGAATTTGGGGCTGAGGCGACCATTTCCTACTGGGTTTGCTTGTAGTGGAACACACAGCAGCAGACTCCAGGCAACACAAAGTGTATCAGTGGAAGCAAACCCACAAACAAGGTCTTCTCCACAAGAAGAGAACACTTCCCATTGTGCAGTTTACTGGGCTCAGTAAAGTGCAGGGACAGAATGTCCAGAAGCCAAATTACTTCTTAACTGTAAGTGGAGATAGCAGAAAAAGCTGAATTGGCCAAGATTTGGTAACATCCCACCCACTAATGAAGCTCCTTTTTCTCCCCTCCGGGCAATCTAATACAGCAACAGCACTAATGCAGTTACACATTAACTTCACAGTGTCTCCTTGCAATCTGCACCTACAGCACTTAAAATCATCTTGACCAGAACACAGCAACCCTGCAGGTTTAACCCAGGGACACATTACTTGTATTTAACAGCATTTTGCTCCAAGGATTTTTAATGGAATTATGACTACGCCTTCCTTGCATTTATCAACCGGTGAAGGCTGACTAAACAAGGAAATCCCTTCTGTTATCTCCACACTTCCAGTGATGGAAAATAAAGCTGCTTTATGAGTGAATGTGTAGTGCAAGAAGAAAACAGAGTACAGAAACAGAGGTTGCAGTGTAGGCTGTGAGGACTGGAACAGAGATTCTCTGCACACAGAGACCATCTCCATTCGGTCAGAGAAGTGATCACCACACAACAGACTTCACTCCTCATCAGCTCTGAGCACACATCAGAACACCAGAGTTTCACCTGTAAGGGTAGGAAGTGGGGTAGTGCCTGCAGCAACTTGTGCTCAGAGTTAAACCTTACTCAGAATCAGGAATATCAAGGCATGAGTGCAGCACAGGGGACAGAAGTCTGCTCATATGCACACAGAGAAACTGAAAGGAACAAAGCCTCATTACTGTGTTCCCACACACATACAAAGCTGAGATAACTTTGGCAGGGATCCCCAGGCGATAAGGCAGAAGCTGCCTTTGTTTCCCAACACATCACCTAAGGTATCAGCTATAAAAAGGAATGCAGATGTTTAAACTGGTGATTAATGCTGAGCTCCAAAGGCCTGCCTTGTCTGTAGGGCTGCTGATGACACAGGCAGTTGCCACCGTGACCATGTCAGGCCACCAGGAGCCCTCCTCACTCAGCCATGCCCATAGCTGCGTGGTGACCTGTGTTGTCCCAGTCAGAAGGCAACAGGGAGGACCAAGCCTGTTGGAAACTGCTTCTTCTGACGGCAACGCTGGTTCAGGACTTCCCCATCTGGTCCCAAAAGCACAGTTCTCACCCCACAGCAGCCTGACCAGACCACAGAGATCAGGCACAAAATGACTTCACTTACTGGTACAGCAAAATGAGTTACAGCCTCATCTTGCTCCAGTATCTGTACTCTACTGTGATTACATGTAAATCCCCCCTTTCCAGCAGACGAGGTAGTTTCCAGGAAAGGAAAGTTCAGCCTTGCATAGTGGGAAGGGCAGGAAGCCAGCTTGGCCTCTGCCACATTCAGAGAAGTGAGCTACTGAAAACACCAAGAACAGCCTGCAGGAACACAGTAAATAACTCACTGAGGACAGAACTACAATAAATCAGCACTGTGTGATCAGAGGCCAACAAGTTCTTACCACTTGGATACTCCCAGCCACAGCGGAATGGGAAATTCCCTACAAAGAACAACAGCTACCCATTCAGTGCAAGGGCTGGTACATTACATTAAACACAAGCTCTAAGGAATACTTCCTTTGTAACCTAGATGTGTTGGGTACTCAGAATTAGCTCTTAATCCCAAGAAAGGTGCTCTGGATGTTGCCATCAAGCACTTCAATGTCTGAAGATCAGGTAAATCACTCATTTAACCTTCAACTTTGTCCAGCTGAGGTCTCCATGCAGCTTCCCTTCTCCAGGCTGAACAGCCCCAATGTTCTCAGCCTGTCTCCATATGAGAGGTGCTCCAGCCCCTGATCATGCTCATGGCCTCCTCTGGACTTGTTCCAACAGCTCCATGTCCTTCTGATGTTGAGGACACCAGAACTGCACACAATGCTACAAGTGAGGCTCACAAGAGCAGAGTAGAGGGGCAGGATCACCTCCTTCAACCTGCTGGTCATGCCCCTTTTGATGCAGCCCAGGATGAAGTTCTTAATGTTGTCATGATATTCTGCATCTATATCTTCAAACAAACATGACAGAACTGTGCCTGGAAGGCACACTGCCCTTCTCTGCAGAAACACAGGGGGCTTGCAACTGCATCAAAGGAAGCCTTTGCCTCATTTTAAAGCACAACAAAGCACAGGAGAGATGAACCTCTTCTAATCCTAAACAGTAAGACTCCATAATCCAGGAACAGTGTTAAAGGTCAGCTTTAATGCTTGTTTCTTCCATATGATGTAAAAGCTGCAGTGAAACCATATGACAGTCAAAGGGGGAAGGCTGCTGAAAACAGTCAGTTCTCCTAAGCAAGATCAAACTTAAATGCCTTAGAACAGGTTTTATCCCATCAACGAGTCTTTCATAAGCACTTAATGCGTTCTGAGCTATGTAATACAGGGCCACACAGCAGAAGGTAGTCCCTCAGCAGCACTGTGCTGCCAACTAAGCAGAAAACAAGGTGAAAAGCCCTGTTATTGTCTAAAGTCTCGTTACTGTTTGAAACCAAGATCAAAGCACCAAAGGCCAGCACAGAAATCTTACCTCATGTCACCAAGTTTCCTGCTGATAACAGAGCCTACGTTGGACAGGGCTGCTGAAGTCTTCTGGCCTGCCTGGGAAAGGGTTTCCTGGGTCTTCTTGTAACTAAACAGAAGCAAAAGCAAATCATATATTGAACCAACGAGGAGCATTTGGAAGCAAAAAGCATCCCCCCCATTTTGAAACAGGAGCCCATATTAAAGGGGAGAAGCCAGGTTAGTGAGCAGCCCTGACTGCACTGAAAGAGCCTCTTCCAGCCTTGGCTATGTCTTAAAGAGTGCAGGATTAACCTCTCCATACATTCACTTCACCATTTGGACCTGACGTTCTTAAATCTGATAAGCATTCGCAAAGAAAACCCCAAACCCAATCTTCCATGTGGAAATCCTAATACCATGGCATCATATCCCAGTTGCTCTACTACTACCTTTTGGTCACCTTGAGAAAATAAGTCTGGGAAGCTATTCCATAATAGCCTTGCAGGCTTGAAGAAGGTGCAGTGCTTGTTGTAGCGTTAGCTTATAGAGGAAAGAGGCAGGATTGCTGTAAAGAAATGCAGGAATCAGCATTATCTCTACAACTGCAGGTTAGAAGTAAATGGGTAGAGAAGTTTCCCATCAGTTACCATTAACCACAGTACATAAGAGATCTGACAGCCTGTATTTGCGAGCTGATTACATCAGAGTCTGTAGCAGAGCTGGAGAAGACAGACACTTGAGAACCTTCGTGTCCTTCAGGTGGGACTGATCTTGGAGCCACTTTCATGCACTCATCTCTCTAAGCTATTCCCCAGTTAGTGACCGACAGCTACATTAATGGCATTCCTCAAGTTATTTCCTAACCCGAGCCTTGTTTTTCATGAGCTCAACAACTGAAGCCAAGTTTTCTCATTCCCAATCTTTCATCTTGAGGTTATTTTCTTTGCCTGACTGCGATGTTTAGGAGAAGGGCACCACAAACAGCCCAGTGTTCTCTCTCATGCCTGAGCTCCCAAGGCTAAAAGCACCGTGATAAGAGGCTGATTTAGCTGCACCTTATTCTCTCCAGACAGCAGCACAGGAGAGAGCAGCTGAATGGGGTTCAAGCAATACCAATCACAGCATGTTAGTCTGTGGGGGTTTTATGTTTAAGCCCACAACCAAGCGTTTCTGAATCAAGAATGTACATAAGACTCATACAGAACAGGGCAAAACCACATCAGCTTCACCTTCCTTCTCCCTGCTCCTGAAACCTACACATTTTGCTGAGCAATTCTTCTTGAATCAGGGCCTCCAGAATTACCCCAACAGCAAGGCCTCAATACTGCTTCTCCACAGCACAATCTTGTGCAAGCAGTTACCTCTGGTCAACTTAGAAGTGAACTGGTCAGCATCAACGCCGCTTGCTCTTACACAGGTCTTCCTACTGCACTGTGTTTGAACCCCAGGACTAAAGCTGCTTTGGAAGAGGAGGATCTCAGGCTCAATCCCTGCCTTTAGCACTCAGGCTCCTCCCCAGCTGAGTCCTGTCATGGGATTTGATTTACAGCTGCACAACAAACACTGAAGACCTCATGCTCACTGAAGCCTTGATGCTACCCCTGCTTGGCACTCAGCTCTGAGATGAGCACTGAGCACCAGAGCAGCAATGAGGACACCACCAGACCATGCATACACTGCACACTTCCAGGTATTATGTCTGGCTTCAGCAGATAAAGAGCAAAGATTTCCCAACTGTATTTTCCACCCTTGACAGCAGTGTTCTGAAGATAACTGAAGATCTGACACTCAAGTGCTGCTCCTTTATGATGCCAGCACGGCTGCTTGTGCTGACAGGGAAATGTAGATCAAGGAAACGATCCAGCTGAAATACACACTTGGAAGAACACAAAAGAGCAGCAGGCAGATCAGCCCAGCAGCCTAGTGCTGCATCCACAGCTCCCCACCACACACCCACACCTCCATCCCTGCAATGCAGGAGGCAGAGCCAGGGGAGTGCAGCTGAGAAGCTCTTTAACCCAGAACTGCCACCAGACACACGTGTGGAATTGTGCCTGCGACAACAGGGAGCTGATTATACAAGGCTTTAATACAACTTAACTGCACCCAGCCCTGACCTAGAAGTCACAAGAGCTCTCCTGCAAGTGACAGGGATGGGATTGCCATGGCTTTAAATTCACACTCCCCCAGCATCAGAACAAAGCACAATAATCCAGATGTGGGAGTAATAAATGTAAGCTCTGCTTTGCTAACAGGCAACTGGCTCAGCAGAAGCCACAGAACTGATCTCTCCCTGGTGATGTTCATCCTGTGGTATCGACACATTTCATAGACCTATAAACCTTGATAGGAAGAAGCCAGACCTGAACCCTCCTTTATGCATTAGTACCAGTTTCCTCTCACTTGCTCTTCTCCAGCCAACACCATTTGTGTTCTCTGGCCAGGTACACAAACCCCTTCAGTCATCCTGTGTCCTGGCTATGATGAAACTGGAGCTGGGGGGCAGCCTGGGCTGATTCGTGTCAGAGGACAAGCCTGTGGCCAGGAATGGCAACGGACCAGGAAATGCAGCAGTGCACCAAAGCAGCAACAGGTCACGAGTCAGAGCCAGTCCCAGTTCAGTCACTTCTAATGCAGAGAAGCCCCAAAACAGGAAAGAGTATGCATTTGCATAAAAAACCCTGTAAAACATAAAACCTCATCCTTGGACTTTTTGAACTCCTCACATTTACTGAGCTTTAGATAAAAGAGGTAGAAACTGTTTTCTGAAGCCTTCCTTCGATCCACCTCACCTCTCCATTTTAACCAGCATCTACCTTACTAACATGAACTGTCACTGTCTAGTGCCAAAGCAAGCAGGAAAACTGGTGTGCCACAGCTATTGAGGCCTCAAAGTGCTCACAAAAGCACGCTTCCTCCACATTCTGGCACCTATTAACTACAAGGAAACAGAACCAGAAGGTTTCCACTCTAAGAGGCACACCCAGGCAGGAACTCTGATTAGACACTGCTGGAGTCAGTCTCACTGTCAGCAAGCACAAAACCCAAGGTCATTCCAGTTAGCGAGTGAAACAGTGACAATTTACACCTCCTTCATCTAGGAAACATACAGGGAACGCTGGAACTAAGACCTGCATACTTGAAAGCTTTATTCTGATACCCCTACTTTTTATCTCTGCTCATCTTTCAGCTGTCTTAGGAAGAAAAGCTCCTATTCACCCGCGGTGCCAAGAACAGACCAGCTCAAAGGGCTGAATTTCATACAGAGAACAGGAAAAGCTGGCTTGCCTCAGACCTACCTTCCATGGTTTAAATCAGTTCAGAAAACAACACTATCTACCTGCTCCCCCTGCAGAGGGCTGTGCCATGTACTGCGGGGAAGATGCAGTGAGAAGGACAAAGGCCAAGTTCCATGATTTAGTCCAGATGAGAATTTAATCCCAGGCATTGACTAAAAGCACAGCTAAGAGACCTCAGCCAAGAAACCTTCACAGCCAACAAATGGAGTGGAACTGCTGTGAGGTTTAAGCTGTTCAAGTCCATTTGGGGCCCCAACATGACAGAACAGCTGCTCTGGACACCACAGCTCTATTTGTTCTCATCAGGTAGCACAGCTAAAGGAGAAGCTCGTGCTCCCTGCAAAGCACACAGAGGGTAAAACAAGAGGTCAGTCTGGCTATTCCATAGCTCATCAGCTGAAGATACAAGGTGTGACACGCAGGTCTCAGCTACCCAGTGGTTTCCCTACCTACATGGACCACAAGGACATCACTCAAGCACTGACCTGAGGAAAAGCTCCCTCTCCCTGAAGAGGCATTTACTGGGTTAAAGAAAGCAAAAGCTAGAAGAGATAGATGTTTACACAGATCTAGTCAAAGCAGAGGCCTTGGAGCAGGGGCACAGAGCTGTTAGGGGCAGCAGACTGTCATGAAAGCAGTTGTTAACACTCAAGGTTAAGACACTCACGCTTCTGATTGAGTTAATTTCTCATTCCAGTCCTCCAGTGTGCTGCTGGCTGAAAGATATCTACAAACACAATGGGGGTTAGACACAGAGCCAAGGTCACTACAGATGCTGCTTCTGACACTTGCCACATCATGACTGTCTCTTTACACTCGCATTATCACAAGCTCCACTTCTCCAGCAACAGCTTCCCCCCTTCTGTGCTACAGCCAGAAGGAAAAGAGCTGCTGTTCGAGGCAGGGAGACACCAAAGCCCCAGTTTCTTTCTTATTTAAGCACATCCAAACACAGCAGAGAAAGGAAGCCTGCAGCTCAGAGGTGTCAGGAACTGAAAGACTCCGCATCTCCTGCTCCCTCCCTACATGCTGCTGGCAGTGAGGTATCACAAGCACAGAGCAGCAAACTGAGCACAAGGCCAAAGAAATCTGTCTGCTGCACCCAAAGCTGCAGTTTACTGATAGAGAGTGACCTGGACAAACAGCTAAACTTCGTTTCATTATCTTTAGACATCATGTTTCCCTACATCCAAACCAGCACGGTGCCAGAATTATCACTGGAGGTACAGAACTAACTCGAGTACTACAGAAAGTGCCTGCTACCAGCTCAGGCAACACTCAGAAGAGCTCAGAGTGACTTATTACAGGCAGCTCACATCACCCACAAGTGTAACTCTCCCCAGTTAGATCACTGCCATCTTGCCTAGTGATGGGATGCTCCCAGTCCATGTGTTCCTTAGTTAAATAATCATCTCCTTCAGCACAAGACATAGAAGGGAGAGAACCTTCAGAGCAGGAAACATTCAAGGGCTCCCTTACAGGAGGAATCATGTCTAACATTAACAGAGGTCTAACATATTTAAACAGAAGCAGCCAGATGCTCTTCATCTGCATTTGCCACCTGCTTGTACATACAGACTAAAACTGATGGCTTTCTGGTGTTGACATCAGCAGAGGTCCATCTGCATCAGTGCAGAAGAGCCATTGTGTGGTGGCTTTCCAAAGTGAGCAGATAGATTTGCATTTGCACAGCCCCTAATTCCAGCTACAGATAAATGCCTTCAGGCACCATCTCTCCCAGGTGGCTGTACAGAAAGGCGATAACCACACTGATTCCTACTAGAATGATGAGAAATGATTTCACATTAAAGATGAGGTTCACTAATAAGGCACATAGCAGCAGTTGAACCTTCAGTACTAAGGGGAAATTGGGGTTGATTTCTGTCATCCCCCCCCCTTTTGTTTTTACATGATGTGGTCTGGTAACTGATTGGAATTTTTCTTCTGCAATAGCAAGCCCATGAGAGGGATGATGGCAGTAACACTGACTCATCTCCTCTGCAATGGAGGGATGCTTACAGCCAGAAGCCAGGCATGCTGCTAGGAACAGCCCTGCCTCACAAGCCCCCAGCTCCCACTGAACCCCTGAGGCCTGTGACAAGTGGCAGCAGCGAGGGGGGAGTTGCTGAGGAGCCCGAGGCACTCACAAGTCAGACTGTGTCACTTTGTCATTCCACTCTCCAAGTTTCTCAGATGTTTTCACATAACTAGAAACAGAAAGTGTTGATGAATATGATTTGAATATTCATTTCTTTAAGACGACGACACAGATTTCAGTTACAAAGGAACAACAGAAATGTAGGGGGGAAAATGAGGGAAAGGGAGAGAATAAACAGGGAGAGGAACAGCTCAATGATGTGCTGGGCAGCAGCACTGTCAGTAGCTACAAGTTCCACACTGTGTGTAACTCCACATTCCAGTTAAGTTACACAAGGCTTTTTAGACTGAACAGTAACTCCATGGGCACTGTGAGTCCCTGACACTCAGGCACAACTGCAGGGTCACAGCAGGGTTCTTTCAGCACTGTCAAGCACTGCAGTAATTGTGCCCTTACTGCCTGCTCAGGGTCAGTCTCATTTCACACCTTCTTTAGGCAGAGATGACTGTGTAACACACTGATATGACAGGGGTTTTTCCCTAGGAAGTGCAGGCTTTTGATTTCAAGCTGTTTGACTCAGGAAAGAGCTTCTGAGCACTGGAGCTTTGAAACTCCTTGCTTCTCTTTGAGCCTGGGTTCAGAACAGGGGAGCAGCTGAAGACACCTCAAACAACGGGCAGAAAATGGGCAAACAGGACTGTTCAGTGGTGAGCTGGATCTCTAACATCATGGGAAAGGGCATCCAGCACCAGTTTATCCCAATCACAGATAGGAGAGTTCTGTTTACACTGACATAAAGACACTGACTTTAAAGATTTATTGCTCTTAAGTGCCTTTTGCTGCAGAACAAAAGCCTCCAGTTGCTTGGAAGAGCCCTGGAATGTGCTGCTGGGAAATCATTAGGAAAGAGTCACTTTTAAATACACAGGCATCACAGCAACACTTACGCATTGGAGACTTGGACATCGTGCCAGCTTTTAGACAAGTTTTGCTTGAGCCCATCCAGGGGAGTCAAACCCAGCTTCCTCTTTAGCTCTCCACAGTGCCTCTCCTTAGCAGCCAGAACCTGCCTGAGAGTGCCGATCTCTTCTTCAACCTTAGGGAAAAGGAGAGGTTGGATTTAAAGCACAGCTTAGTAAAACTCTCAAACCTGAGCCAACTTCCTACCTCCCTCAAAGCCGAGGTTAAAGAACTGGGAGGAATGTCATGTACACACAGCACAATTCCACTGAACACGAATGGTGGTGGAGCGGGAGCCTTCAACTGGGAAAGCATCCATGGAAGCCCCTGCACTGGCACCCAGATTAACAGAACTTATTCCTAGTGCTATTGTCATTTCAACAGCAGATAAAAACCTGTTGCCAAACCTTATTAATGAAGGTTTCTGGTTCATGACTCTTTGCCTCTCATTACAGCAAAGAGCTTTTCCTCAGAGATCTCCCTTATGTCTTCACAGTATTCCAGAGCTGCTCCCAGGTAGAGAGGCTTCAGTTCTCCTTTAACAGATGCATATGAGCCCTCAGAGCTGCCAGCTTCCCCCTTGCCAATACTTGCAAGTCAGAGCCCCACCAGGAGCTCCTCGGGTGCTACAGAACAACTGCAGCTACACTTCAGATGGAGATTATAAACTGCCCTTTAAGCCCCCAAAGGGGGCTGAGGTTTAGGCTGTTACATTACAAACTCAGCTCTTCAAAAGCACAAAGACACCATAAATAGTTACCTATGCATGTAATAGATATCTAAGAGAAAAAGGTAGAAGAGGGGGCCATATCAAGTGCTCCACTGTCTTGGCTTCCTAAAGAAAAACAAGTTTCTTTTTTGCATAGTGCTTCCCCCAAGTGTTTTCTGCCTTCAAACGGAGCTCAAAGCTCAGAGCATCCAAAGCCCCTTATTTCCTCAGAGCTCTAAATTCAGCCACCCTGGAAACGAGCACACAAGCCACGGCCCCCTTTGAAGCCTCTGCCAGCTTTGTGCTCTTCAGCAATCAGCCGAGAGGCGCAAGGGTTTAACTCAAGCGTTTAACCCCGGACCCCTGCTCCTGGGGCTCGGGTTTGCTCCTTCCCAGCACGGCAGCCCCACGGCCCCCGCTCCCAAACAGGCGTTACCTTGGCGAGCTCAGACCTCAGCTCCTCCTCTTCAGCCAGGGTGAGCCCTTCGGGTGCAGCGGCTCTGGCCGAGGCGCCGCTATCCACGGGTACGTCCGTCATGGTATCGGCCAGCAGACCTTTGTTGGGAGAGTTAAGGTTGATATCTGCCACAGACAAGGAGCAGAGGGCACACGGAGTAAGCAGCCAGCAAGCAGCGATGCAAACCTGAGCAGCGCGGCGGGGAAAGCGAAGGGAGGGAGAGAGAGAAAGAGGAAGAGAAAGCTCCGGCGGGGTTTCCTCCGCCAGCATCCAGCAGCAGCACCGCGCACCACAACAGCTCCTCCGCCCCGCACCGGGCAGCGGAACACCCGCAGGGCCCACGCCAGAGCCCGCTGGGACAAGCCCGGACGGGAAACGAACCGGGGAAGGCGGAGGGACCCGGGGGAGGGCAGACGAGCCGGCAGCGCCATCCGTAGGCCCCTGTACGAGGAGGAGGTGCCCACAAGGCCCAATTCCCCCCTCACGGAACCCCCGGTGCCGGCCTCCTCGTCCATAGCATCAACCCGCGGCTCCCACCCCGGGCCCATCGCACCCACCGGGGCCGTGTCCCCGCTTCTCATAGAGGGCCCAACCCGGGTACCCCCCTCGGCCCACGGAACCCGGACCCGGTGCCTCCCGTACCCTGACTCGCGTTCTCCATCGCGGAGTCCGGCCCCGTCCTCCCGCGGCCGCCACCTCCTCCCCTCCTATGACGTAGCCAGCGCCGCGCCACTTCCGCCGAGGAGGGGCGCAGGAAGATGACGTCACCGGCGCGTTGCCACGGCAACAGCACCACGTGCCGCCGCCTGCCCGCGGCCCTTCACCGGAAGCGGGGGTGACGTCACGGGGGTGCCGTAGCGCGGGCGGACGGAGGGGGCAGCACCGGTACAGGCCTGAACCGGGACCGGGAGCTTGCTGATGAACCCGTTAATTAACACCGGTAATTAGCACCGGTAATGAACCCGTTAATTAACCCGTTAATAAACCCGGTAATTAGCACCGGTAATGAATCCGTTAATTAACCCCTTAATAAACCCGTTAATTAACACCGATAATTAACCCGGTAATGAAACCGTTAATAAACCCGTTAATTAACACCGGTAATGAACCCGTTAATTAGCACCGGTAATGAGGCGGGCGGCTGGGCCGCGGCCCCGTTTGGGCTCCCGTGTAGACCCGACAGCCCTTGGAGCATTGCCCGGTACTTGCCGGGTGCACCCTAGGGTCGGTACCCGGTGCCGCTGCATCGGGGCTGGAGACAGAGCCCGGCTCCGGGGCTGCGGCTCCGCTCGCACCAGCTCCGTAACGCGCCTGGGTGAAACCCTGCGGGGCTGGAGCCTCCTCCCCGCTCCCCTCCGTTCCCGAGCCTTTTCCATGCGCGCATCCATGGGATCACGGAAGGGTTTGTGTTGAAGGGACCTTAAAGCCCCTCCGCTTCCAACCCCTGCCATGGGCCCGGACACCTTCCCTCTGGGTGCGGTGTGGAAAGGGAAGCGAATGGGGAATGGGAATGAGTTTAACGGAGCCATTCCCAACAGCGCATCCAGGCAGCACCCATGGGAATGCCCCTCCTAGGGCCCGTGCCCAGCGCCCGTGTTTGGTCTGGGGGGGGGGGGTGGTGGTTTTGGGGGGTTATTGCGGTGTTTGGAGCCCCAGCACGCGGCTCCTTTGGAAGTGGGGCTCAGGGGAAACCCGGGTGGGGTTTTCCAAGCTCACCAGAGCCTGATTCCTGCAACCCCGGCCCTGGGAGGCTGCAGCAGGAGCCGGGAATGCTGCGGCAGGCAGGGAGCTGCAGGGGGAAGCCCCATTGCCAAGTCCAGCCTGGCCGGGCAGGCAGGGATGGGGCTGGGGCTCCACCACCCTCCAAACCCACCGCCCCTGCACAGGCTCTGCATTAAGGGCATCGTGCTGCCAACTGCATCGTTCCCCATCCCAAGCCCTGGAAGGGTGTTAGGAAGCAGAATTCCTGTGTTTGGGAATGGGGCTGGGGAAAGGAAAATCCTCTTTGTTATTGCTTCTGTTCAAGGCTGCTCCTGGGCACTCATTGGGGGGCAGAATTCGCCTCCGCAGAGCCACTGCTTCCCCTTCTGCTGCCGTTTCGCTTCGTTTCCATTCCTAATCCAGCTCTGATCCCGATCCCGGCTCCCTTCCCTGACCCAGCCCTGCGGAGGTGGCAGGGAGGGAAGGGCCCAGCATTGCCAGGTGGGGAACGTCTCATCCGGGAGGCAACGGCATCTCCCTGTGCCCGGCATCGCTCCGGGGAGCTGTTCCCACAGAACACGTTGTTTCCCAGCCCTGGCAGAGCCAGAGCCATAAACCCCGGCTGTTTCCCAGCCAGGCAAGGAGGGAAGCAGCACCCATGGGTGCCCGCACCGGGATGCGGGGGAACAGGGATGATTCCCGGTCACCAGGCTCAGGCAGGCGCCGCCGCTCCGTGGCTCCGCTTGGAACCCGACACAGCCTGGGCTCTGTGCCCCCTTTCACAGCAAGCCCTGACCTAGATTCCCTGCTCCATGAAGCCGCCTGGGCTCTGCTCTCCCTGCGCCTGGAAAGGGCCCAGCGGAGCCGTGCTGGCTCCGGCCCCTGACGCCAGTGGCTGATGGAGGCTGATGGAGCCCAGTCTCATTGTGCCAAGGGCAATTCCCATGTCCAAGGTGCCGATGGAGCACTGGGAGGAGTGGCCGGTGGGGCTCTCTCTGCTCCCAGATGCAGTGGTGATGGTCCACGGCCAGCCTTTGGGCAGCTTCAGCCCAGAGCAGCATTGCTGAGCCCCAGGCATGAGCCATCCCATGGCCTGGGTGACACAGGGGGCACAGCATTGCCCAGGGATGCAGTGGTGGGAGCATGGCTGGGTGGGCTCCATAGAATTTCAGATTGGTTTGGGTAGAAGGGACCTTAAAGCTCATCCAGTTCCAACCCCCTGCCATGGGTAGGGGCACCTTCCACTAGAGCATCCCTCCATCTATCCATCCCTCTCTCCATCCATCCATCCATCCATTCATCCATCCATCCCTCTCTCTCTCTCTCCATCCCTTCATCCCTCCATCCATCTCTCCCTCCATCCCTCTCTCCCTCCATCCATCTCTCCCTCCATCCCTCCCTCCCTCCATCCATCCCTTCATCCCTCCATCCATCTCTTTCTCCTTCCATACCTCCCTCCATCCATCCATCCATCCATCCATTCATCCCTCCATCCACCCCTCCATCCCTTCCTCTCTCTCTCCCTCCCTCCCTCCCTCCCTCCCTCCATCCATCCATCCATCCCTCCATCCATCCATCCCTCCCTCCATCCCTTCCTCCCTCCCTCCATCCATCCATCCCTCCCTCCCTCTCTCCATCCATCCGTAGCTCCCCAGCAGAACCAGGCTGCACTTGGTATCAATCCCAACCCTGGTCATCAGTGGCAAATCCCACACCTAAGAGCAAGAAGCATCATTAAGCACCCTGTGCAGCCCCCCCACCCCATGCTCTCAGGACACAAAGGCAGCAGCAGGGAGCTGGGATCATTGTGGGGTCCCCCATGAGCATCCCTCCAGAGGCTGCCCCGTGTGCCCCAAGCCCCCTGTTCTGTTTCAGGTGGGATGGATCCTCTTTCCCCGGTGTTGCTGTTCCCCTTTCCGGTCCCCCACCACCCCCTGCGTGCTGCAGGACATCACCGCCCGCTTCCGCTTTTCCCCCAGCCCAAACCAGCCCCGGGCCCGCACTGGGGGCACTGGGAGGGGGGGGAGACGGGACACGGTTCCTCTTTCTGAGCCGCTGGAGGAGGTCCAGGGACTCTTCAATGGGGCTGAGCCCAGGGGACCTGGGTGCAGCTGTGGGGCTGTGGGGCACAGATGTCACCCGTGGCACCATGGGCTGGATCCGGAGCATCCTCTGTGGGATGCGGGCTCCATGCCTGGACCAACCCCACATCCCCACGTTGCTGCATCCCTGTGGATGCGGGGGGCTTGCTGTGGGTACAGGGATGGAGCAGCCGGGGGGGGCTGGGGTTCTGCATCCTGGGGATCCCCAAGGGGTTCCCACCTCGGTCCTGCTTTTCCCTGGTGAATTCCCAGCCAGCAGCTGGGCTTCCCCCCATACACACTCATCTCCCACTCCAAATCCCTTTGGGAGCCATGGGATTGATCCCAGCCAGGGAAGGGGCAGGTCGGGCTCTTCTCCATGACCAAGCAGCCTCCTCCTGCTTCCTGTGGGGCCAATTTCAGAGCCCCTCATTGCATCCCTCCCCCTGGAAACCGGTCCCTTGTTTTCTGCCTCATTATCCCGGCTCATTTGGATGCTCCCAGCTGGGAAGCTCCCTTTACACACCAGAGGTGCCAGCCACCAGCACTGCATCCCCAACCATCGGGCTTCCCTCCATCCCCTCCTCATCACCCCCTGAGCCTCTTATGCTGCTTGTTTCCACCCTCAGCACCAGGAATCCCCCCTGGGATTAAGCTGCTCCTCCCCACAGCAGAGCCCCACAGCAGCTCCCTGCTGCCCAGGAGCTCCATCCCCATGGCCAGGCCCATCCCAAAGGGATGCAGGGAGATTCCCATGGGGATGTGAGGGAAAGGCTGCGGTCCTGGGGGTTCCCCTGCACGCACAGGATGACGCGGGGACACGTGTGTGCTTGGGGCTGAGGGACCAGATCCCATCGTGGGATGTGGGAGGGAGCCGCATCCCATCCCATGGCCGGCTGGGACACAATGGATGCTTCCCAAGGGATAAAGGGCGCAAGAGCCGCTGCTCTCCCAGCGGCTGTGAGCGGCTTTGGGGCCTCAATGTGTGATGTCCTTGCTGGCACCCAGCGAGCCTGGGAGCTGGGGACGGATCCGGCCTCCATCCCTCCCTGCCCGGAAACAGGAGGGGCAGGAACCCTCCTCCTCCTCCCTGCTCCTGCCTCATTTTCCCTTGCCCTGCCCAGGGCTGCTCGGGGACCTGTTTCCCACCCTGCGAACCTCACCCTGGGCTGCATCCAGCACCATCTGCCGCTTGGAAAAACCCTGCTCCCTAAGCTGCCCTAATCCCTGAATCCCAGCACTCAGGGGGCAGCGAGGAGCACCCTCCCTACGGCATTCCCGGCTTTCCCCGTGGTGCTGGGAGCGGGTGGGCGCTGGGCAGGATCCGTCCTGCGCTGCCTGAAGGAGAGCAGAGGGAACGCAGGCACCGAAGGATGCTCGGGGCTTCCTCCTCCCTCCGCTCCTCTCCTGACCCCGGGGTCAGGAGGCAGCAAAGGGGCCGGACCCCGGGGACCGGGAGCGAGGGAAGGGGGGAGATGGAGGAGCCGAACCCCGCGGCTCAGGAAGCTGGGGGGGGGGATCCCCCCGCTCTTCCCAATGAGGAAGCGCAGGGGGGAGCTTCCCGGAGGATGCGGGGCGGGGGGGGGGGGGAGGCGCCGGACACAGCTGCACAACATCTGGCAGCCGCGTGGGCCCCCCCCCGGGACCAGCGGCACTTCCTGCCAGCGCTCTGCGGCCAGATGTGAGCCCGCTCCCCCCCGTCCTGCGGGATGGGATGTGCCCAGTGCCTGCTCCCAGTTCAGTCCCAGTTCAGTCCCAATTAGCCTCAATTCAGTCCCAGTTCAGCCCCAGTTCAGTCTCAGTTCAGTCCCAGTTCAGCCCCAGTTCAGTCTCAGTTCAGTCCCAGTCCAGTCCCAGTTCAGTCCCAGTTCAGTCTCAGATCAGTCCCAGTTCAGTCCCAGTCCAGTCCCAGTTCATTCTCAGTTCAGTCCCAATTCAGTATCAGTTCAGTCCCAA